AGACTACTTACGGCTACATTGTACTACTGCCTTAGCGGCTGGATCCACAACAAGTTGGTGACAAGTGACCTCAAGGTCGAGTTCGGGCATCTCAACAGTGTTCCATGTGAACAAGTCAGCATTCTCCCTCAGACATGCTTTGAGTTGCTTCCTCGCCAGATCAGAGAGTCCAGCTCCAATCTCCACGCCTTTGTTTGGGTCCTTGCCGAGGAGGATGATTTTGAAATCTCCATCGAGAATGGGACAGAGGGGATCCTGCTTGCCATTGGGGACTTCTACTTCATCTTTGGTGAAGTGGGTGTCGAGGTCGATGGAGTTGACACCGGGTAAGGCCTCTTGTTTTTCGATCCAAGCGGGCTTAGATGAGGAGAGGGTTATTCCACTTGAAGTATTTGGCTTTGTGTCGACCATGTTCTGCCCCTTTGCGGCCGCGTTGAAACATATCCTCGCGGCTTGGATGTCTCCGTGGATCGTGGCGACGCGGCCTCTTTTCGTCTAGAACTTCATCTTGAGATAGACCGTGGAGGGCACGACAGTCAACTCGGCCAGCATTGGTCTTCCCAGGATGCAGTTGTAAAGAGACGGGAAATCGACCACTAGGAAGCTGACTTTGACCTGTCTCGAAGCTTCTTCTATCCCGAACGTGAACATAAGCTTGACATAACCCCATGGTTTGGAAGTCGAGTCATTGAAGCCCTGCAAGTCATACCCCACGTAAGGTGATAAGTTGGATTTGTCGAGTTGTAGGGTCTGGTACAACTAAGTGTACATGACGTTGATGGAACTCCCCTCGTCGACAAGGATATGATGCTTGTCGAAGTTGGTTGTCTTTGCCCGCACGATCAGAGGAATGTGGGAGTTGGGAGCTCCACCTTGCAGCCCCTCGAGGTAGAAGGTAATGGGCTCGGATTTTCCTCAAAATCTGCCAAGGGTGATGGTCTGGACCTAGGTCACATTTATCATCTCCTCGAACTTCCTTTTCACCAAATTCATAGAGAGAGTGTTAAATCCCCTGCAAGAAATGTACATGGCGGCGGGGAGTATCTCTCATATGCTATGGTAAACAAAAGATCCACCTTCCCTGAATTCAGCATTAGCGCATTGTGCAAGGATGCACTTGTGGGTAATCGTCAGAGTAGTGTACTCGGTGAAACACCCAGTTGGTCCTCTATGTTAGCGAGGCTTTTCATCCATTCTCTTCTCACATGGACATCGGGATGGTCCTGTTTCATTGTGCCTTGGGGCACTGGGTGTTCTGCAGTTCCTGGATTCACGAACATTATTGGCAACTTCCTTTTCCTCGTATCTGATGTAAGCTCAGGCTTTATGGAGGAGGTGATCGAACGACTTCAGGGGCTCGATGCCAACTGCTCTATGAATTTCGCTTCTTGGAAGAAGGCCTTTCTCGAGCAGATACCTCTTCATACGGTCAGTGGTGGGGACCTGAATGGCCTCCCAATTGAACTGGTTAATGTAGTCTCTAAGAGGTTCGTCCCTCCCCTGGATAATTGCCTCAAGGGACGCCTTAGTCTTGGGGTGTCACCGAGAAGCTGTAAAGCTACTGGCGAACTGGTTCTTCAGGTTTCGCTAGAAGGTGATTGACTCGGGGGCGAGGCCCTTGTACCAGTCCATAGCAGTTTTCCTTAAGGTTGTGGGGAACAACCTACATTTGATTGCGCCCCCGATGTTATGGAATTGAAGCATTACTTCGAAGGCGTCGACATGGTCGTCAGGATCTGTAGAGCTACCGTAGCTGTTCAGAGGTGGAGGTTTCTCCATTCCCTTAGGGATATGAGCCTCCATAATGGCTTGGGATAGTAGAACGCGGGGGTCATCTTCCTCTTCTTCTTCGCTTTGTTCGAGGGATCGAGACAGAGAGAAGTCGTAGCAGTGTCTTCTATGTCGAGTTTTCTTCTCTTCCTTCCCCTTGTCCCTTTTAAGAGTTGGGGAACACTGTTCTTTGTGTGGAGGGTGTGGTCGCGCTTCTTGATGATTTCCTATTGGGTCATCTCTAGTCGGGGGCGTCGCTCGGTACAAAGGGGAGAAGGACTACGAGAATCTCCCTGTTGGTGTCTCTGCGGAGGAGAGCGCGAACGGGGCTCTTGTCGTCGAGGAGATGGGGTGCGCGAGTCAGGCCTCTTGTGTCTTCTTGGGGACTTGCGGGTTTCCAAAATTCCAAGGTGTTTTCCTTGCGCGAAGATCATGTAATTTGTCATGTTGATCGCCGCGGGCAGGGCCTTGGTCGTAGGGTCGACACTCTTAGGCACGTGGATTTCCTCATACGCCGCATGTTCGTTGTTTTTCCGGCAAGGTCGGTCGAGCGGATGGGTTGGAGTGGAGGAGGAATCAGTTCTTCTGTCCCTGATGTCGAGCGCATGGTGGCAAGGTCATCGTCATTGTTGTTGTTGTTGCCAAACTCTGTAAAGTGAACATTAGGGTTTTCATTGTTGACTGGAGCGGCCATGAAGATCGGAAAGTTAAAAGTTTGCTTTGATCTTCAGTTAGTGAAAGATGGGGAAGCAGTTCCCCACAGACGGCGTCACTGGTTGTGCCTGGCCAAAAGGGATCATCGATGGTCCACAAGCTGGAACTAGATGATGTTGAAGTGAAATGAGGGTACTTGCAAGATACTCTGATGCCAAAGTAAGATTCAAAGTAAGTGCAAGTAATGAAAGTGTAGAAAGAGTGAATACCTGACCATCTCATGTGAGAGGATATTTATAGCCCCCGTCGTTGGGTTAAGATCCACGCATTGGGCTAAACAATTAGGCCCAAGAACGAAGACTATCAGGGTTACGTGTATAGTGGAGTCCAGCACGTGGCCTCCTCCCTGGTCAACTGCCCCGAGATAATAGGGAAGTTGGACCCGTTATTCTCGGTAGGAAGGACGGTGGTGGTTACAGATAACTGTTGGCCAGTTCGCCTAAGAGGCATGTGGGAAAATCCCCAACGATTGTTAACATGGGTTGGACGCCATTGGGCCTCAGAGGCGCTGGATTGGGCCTGCTCAACGGTAGGCCAAGTGTCAGTCCAACCCAAAATACAAAATAACAAGAGGGTGAATCAAGATTTCAATCTCTGGAAAAATCTTGAGCCTGTGTATATGACAATACCATAGGGGTGTCTATGAGTTTCAATCTTCAGACAAACTCTTAAAACAATATTACTCGTGTATTCTTCATACAAGATAATAAAGAGGTGAATTTCAATCTCTAGACATTATTATAAACACCTAAAAAATATTATAAACCATATATTGTTCACACAATCAATCATACATAAGTCATTCATAGCAAAAAAAATCATAAGTTATTCATAATTCATAACTCAGTCATTTATAAACTATACATCACATATTCATAAACGATACATAATTCATAGTTCAATCATTCAAAACAGTTACATCAAAATACAAATTAAATACAATTTTGATATACACAATAACATACAACTTTTTATTTTCTTAGCATGAATTATACATTTCAGTGTGTCAAGACAATGCAAAAACAAATACATCATGTCAGACGGCTTAATTAGTATAAAACAAATATTTAAAAGAATAATTAAATATTTATACTATTTCTATGTCGAGTAGAATAATTTATATATAGAGAAAATAATGGAATGTGAGGTCCTCCTGAAAAACTATTAGGTGTGACTGTAATAGGCCTAATTGGAGAATATGGATCATGCGCATGTACTATGAAATATGAGAAAATATATATATTTTAAAAATTCACGACTTTAATAAAAAAGATTTTAATAAAAATAAAATAAAGATGGATGTTGATAATCTTTTGGATTTTTTCAGAAATTATCTAAAACAATTAAGTGAAACATCGACTTTTTTATAACCAATATTCAATTTATAACGTGATTTAATTGACTAAGTTGATCCCGTTAGGCCATCGCAATTGATAGCCGAACAAAAACATCAAATATAAATATGCATGTTCGAACACACGTCATCCAACTTATTCACCTTCAATGAGTGAATTCCAACCTCTAAACTACTTTATCAAAACTAAAAAACATTAAAACAATAAAAAAATTCATTTTAAAATATCATCATTCTAACCCATATCACTTCTATTTTCTTTTTTACTCCCTACATATATAAATATTTCACTTGGATGACAAAAACAATTACTTTAAAAACTATGTTATTTGTCATAGAAGAGACAACATTGCTCTACCAATGATATATGTTAGTTTAATCCATAATAGAAATATCTAGAAGAAAATGTGTCTAAATATCATTGTTAAAATATTTATGTAATTAATTCCCCAATTTTTTTTTTAATGTAATTATATGATCAATGGTTGCAAGGTTGTTAACTTAGTTGATATATCTAGCCTAGTTGATATGTCTATCGCTTCATCTTTTGGTTCAATGTCAACTTCTTTTTTTCTTTAAAAAAAGAGAAATAAATGAACAACGCTTTTTATTCAAACACAACTCTTACTAAAAACCAAACAAAGGTACCTCAATTCATACACTTTCAACTATTTGAGTTTCTATAGTATGATAGTCTTCTATTTACTCAATTAGTTTCTATTAACATGATAATTTGACCAAGAGAGAAAAAAAAAATACTTGTATTATTAGCTTGACATGTCTAATAACAACCTTATACTCGTGAAATTTGAGATTGAATGTAAGTAGTAGATAACTTTTATTTTATAAATATCTTTTCATTCTTGGTGAATAGGATTAGCAATCCTGTCGAGCCTTCAAGCCCTTGTCTTAAAAACAGGTTTTGTCAAAAGTGAGGCTATTTTCAAAAACATAAACTGATATATGCTTAGTTATGGCCACATTCATTTTGGAGGAAAGTACATGAACCATTCAATCTGCATTCATTTCCCCATAGTTTCACTTTAGCTTGTAAGCTCCAAAACCTGAACCCTATAACAATATTAAATTTCTATTTCTCAGTTTTGACGATTAACTATACTATACTTTTTTATAAATGCTCTAATGGTTCTATTGTAATTTTGGATAATAAACACTTTTTTTTATTTGAAAAGGCTAAAAGCATAATATATATTAAAGAGATAAAACAGAGGCATAAGGGATGCCTCAAGAGACAAGTACAACTTACATGTGATCCTAGCAATTGTTTTACACTAGAACCAGAATTAAGGATAAAAACACCAGGCACAAAACCGCAAAAACACCTAGACAAAAACTGAACCAACCCAAAATCCGAAAACTGCCACTGATTGAAGAAGATCACACCAGAATCGCTAAGGATACATGTGCACCAGTGACAAAATTCTGTCATGATAATAAGCCATGCTGAGGTGATGCGCCATAAATCTTATATATCTAATATAGATATATAAGATTTTTGTGATACATTGATATTGATGAACAGATACCTGTATGAAATGATGAAGAAACGTATGTGATAGTGATACCTACACCATCGTTTTCCCTCCACATAAATCACAAATTGTATGCCCTAGGCCTTCACAATATGGGCATTTTGTATCCTCACCCACCCATTCCATAAACTGCATGACAGATCTCATTTGTTAGCTCAAAAGCTTGTGAAACATAAACCGATAACTATGGAAATTAATTTTCATAAAAAACACAATCATCCCTTACTTGAGGTTCAATATTTGGCTCACCAGTTCCATCACATTCTACAATTAAGGAGACGGAAGTTGACTTGAGACTCGAGATATATGGAAGATTTCCAAAGTTGATATCATCAATAATATATTTAGGAAACCAGTATAATAAAGATGTTAATCACTCAAAAAATACATTTTACTTTTCAAGAACTGCTTTCTTCACTGGAGCTTATATATTGACTAAAAGTGAAAACAATGAGGACAGTTACGTACCTGTACACAACAAGATACCTAACCCACTACATTGAAGGCATTTTATTGTTGCATTTTTGTTCTTCACCTTATCAACTGCACCCTTCGCTAAAAGTCTTGAGGGTTCTTCCCACCGATTTTCTCCAAGGAGGAAAACTCTTGGATGGGATACGTCTGTTCCTTCGTCAACTTTCCCCACAAAGTTTTGCTGAACCTCAGAAATTTCTGTGGCAGAAGCAACTGCAGCTCCATTTTCAACTTCCTAGAACTCACAGAATGATTAAGATTCAAATACAGTTATACAACAGATCTCATAGAAGTGTCACGCACTAACATATGTCAGACATAAAAACGCCTTTAGGCTATGTTTGCGAGTTTGGAGGGGAGGGGAGGGGAAGGGAAAGCTTCCGAAAACGAATTTTTAAAAAAATATAAGAAAATATTTTATATTTTTTGAAAAAATGATTTTGTATAGAACCATAAAATAGTGTTTATTATTACTGTATTTTTAATTTTCAGAATACTATAACAACATAGAAGATATTTAGAAAATTTATGTAAGCCCTCCAAAACCCTCCTTCAATATAAATTTTGAGTTCCCCTAAATTAGGGATTTTTTTGATGTTTTGAAGAAACACAAACCCTCCAAAACCCTCTCAATCAAAATCTTTCTATTCTTTTCACACAATCCTTCCAATTTTCCAAAGCCCTCCCCTCCCTTCCCCTCCAAACTCCCAAACAAAGCCTTAGTGTAAAGTGTCGGTGCTACCTAGCATGGGTTTAAAGCTACTACTGTTTTTGGACAACTCATTTAAGAATAACTACAAAAAATAGTGGCATGTTTTCAGTACTCAAAGAGCAAAAAAATACATCTAATATAACAACCATACCTTTGGAAGAACAGTAGTAGATTTTTTGGTCTCCTTTGCATTGCCTATGTCCGTAGTCCTTATCTCCAAATCTAGCCTGTCAAGAAGTTCAGATGTCATAATGCCATCCTCAGTGAGACCTACTGAAGCCTGTTAAACAATATAACAATGGCCATAAAAAATTATGAAAATAGAATAGCATATAGAAAAACACTGTACAACATATAAAAAGCTTCCTATCCAAGCTTCATATATTATACTACTAAGATAATGGGATTATAAGGAATATAAATTCAAGACAGTTAGTTATATGAAGTACAGACTCCCATTTAGACGCTTGACACAACACGGATAAGGACGCTTGACATCAAACCTTGATATATTGTTCAAAAGAAAGACTAACTAACCTGCCAAGTCTTGACAGCACGCTCAGTTCCACTTGAGAAGCTGGAGAATTCCATGTCCTCCTCACCGGAATAAAATCCCAATTTTAGCAAGGCTTCCTGTTGCAGCACAAAAATCAGCAAGAAATAAGATTTGGCAGTGCACCAACTTCGTAAGCATCATAAACACAAATCACAGCATAATGATTTGATAATTAACATTGTAAAAATGAAATCGAACCTGCAACTTTTGAACCTCTTCTCCTTCAGAACCCGATCGCAAAAAGGTCCTCTTCTTAACCCTAACAACAGGGTCCTCAACAACCACAATCTCCTTGACATCCTCAACAACCTCTTCAGTTTCCTTCTCCTCCTCTTCATCAAACAGCAGCCTCCGCTGACTAGAGCCACTCTGGAGAACCAGATTCTTATCCTTCAACACCTGCAACAGCGATGCAACATTGGCAACCGCATCAGACGAAGATGACGCTGAAGATAGAATCCGACGCTCTAGGGATTGGATTTGAAGTTTAAGTTCGGAAATCTCTCTGAGAAGCTCATCGCGCTCGCGATTCCAGCGATTCTCCTCGCGAATCCACCGCTGCTCCTCGCGGAGCCAGCGCTGTTCTTCGCGGAGCCAGCGGTGCTCTTCGCGATCGGAAATGGAGCAGTGAGAGATGAGGGATTTGGATTTATAGGAGGGGAAACGAGGTTTGAGAAATGGGAGGGTTTTGGTGAAAGAGAGTGTGGAATTCACAGTTACAGTGAGGGTAGCATGTGTAGGGACAGAGAAAGACATTGTGAATGAGCAGAATTGGAGAAAAGAGGCCATGGATTGTGGATATTTTCATCTCCTTACAAAAGATATTTTCATAAATGCTTATCTTCTCAGTCACAAGCATTCTATACAGACTTCAAAAATTATTAAATTAATGTATTCAAGTGGCGGGAATCAAACTCATTCATTTACTAACAGATTAATAGTTATTACTTAATGAAAAACATGTGAATTAAACCAAATTAAAAAAATATCAATTTATTTATCAATCTATTAAAAGTAAAGTACCGTTAACTTACCATAATACCCTAATTAGTAAATTTCAATTTAGTCTTAATCTAAGGGTATATTTGTAACTTTCTGAAATACTTGCACCATATTGATTTGACAATAAATATGGCTGATGTGTCACACTATGGTTTTTTCTACCACTTTTTACTTTTTTTAATTATTTCTAACTAACAACAATTATGTCATTTTGTTTATATTTACACGTTATAATCACACCTAATTATGTGCTAGATACCACTTCCGAAAACCCTCATCAAAACCAAAGGTCATTCAATTTGAAATTTAAATTAAAACACTCATATTATAGCTGCTACGTACACTGGGTTTTGAAATTCTAATTATTCTACTAAACCCTAATCACGTTTTTTTGTTGCAAGATTTAAATTGGCAGCACAAGATGAACAACCATCATAAATGTTGAGTTCTTGAAACGGTAAATCTATACAACCAAAGAAATCGTTTTTCCCAAGATGCAACAAATAACTCATTCACCCAACTCTATTAAAACACAAATTAGAAAACCTAATTTTATCTTCTTATCTAATTTCATCTTCTTCCTGCGCCGCTCCATCTCTTTTCATTCTTCTCTCTTTGTTGCTACCAATTTCGTTTCGTTGTAATCTCAACCATCTAATATTCTCATCCTAACCTGTTAATTTAATTGTTTCAGACGTTCAAGCGTAAGAATGGTGGTCGTAACCAAGACCTCTGAATCTCAACAACATCAATAACCAACAACACCCGTTATAGATCTATAAAAGAATTTCCTTCAAATGCAATTTTTAACGTTAATTTGATTCATACATATGTAAGTGACGAAGGTGAGTGAATACAAAGCTCACACATATATATTTACGATTGATTCTCCAAATAGATAGAAGCTTATTTCTTTTGCTTCCTCTTTCAATTTATTATTAATCTATTTAAATTTCAATTTCTCCCATCACATGTTTGATAAAAGAAGGCAGTATATTCTCATCAATTTTGTTGTTTATTTTGCTTACTATTATATTTATTTGTATCTAATTGAGATTTTTGTATTTATTTTCTTGATTTAATCGGTTCTTCTTTTGGAATATGTATGGATATGGAGGCTGATAATTGATTTCACACTTGAATCAGTAGGGGACCAATCAACAAATTGAATAACGGGTTGAAGATAAAGAGAGGATTAGTGGTTCGGCTTATGGGGGTCAACAGGACATCTGTTGCACCAATGATCTTCCTAAACTCACTCTGTGCAATGATGGACAGGGCTGTCACCGGCCTTCTCCCATGAATTCAAATTGGCCTGAAGTTTATGGCGTGGCTTTTTATCATGCCCAAGAAATAAACAGTTTGTTTTTAGTTTTAATGCTTTATAATATTATTGTTTGCAGAGTTGTCTTAGCATTTTAAGTGCCAATATTCCCCATGGTCATGGCTGAGTGACCATTTACTTCTCTAATTTCACAAACAAAAATATTGCTAAAGAAGAATTGGAGACTGCCACAACAGAACCAGAGACCACTATTTTAAATCTACTTAATCGAGTCGATTTTCACATGTGATTCATCATCAAAGCCAAGTGTTAACTTATATTTTCATTCAAGTTATTTGATAGTTAACCTTATAATAGTAAATATATGTTCAATATGGTGCAGATGATTTGATTTCCCGAGCATTTGATTTCCATCTACAGCCGTAATTGAAGATTAGGAAATTGAAACCATTGAATTTTATGCTTCCACAAAGAATATCAATGGCTTTCATTGACAGGTACTGATTATATACTAATTGTATTTTCTGACATATAGCAAATGCAAATGTCTCATTGCAATGTTTGGAGGAACTGTTTTTGGAAGAGGAACGAGATTTTGATGAACATGAGGATAGTCAAAGGGATGAGACTCTTATTCACCCGAAGTTCTAAAGTAATATGTTTTTAAGGGTTCAAGAGTAGCGGGTGTTACTGAAGTTCACTACCAATTTCAGAAGAACCATAAGCAAGGCAATAATTATCTAAGATGTATAAGATGATAAAACCAACGTTGATATGCGATCATTTTCTGTTACTATAGAAGAATGTTTTTAACAAGATTTGATTCAAATTATGTATATGTATATTATTATTGCTTTCATATTTTGTTTGTCATATCAACATTGGTTTTGGCCTAATATATTTTTCTACTGCAAATTATGTTGGCCTATGTTTTAATGGAATTTATTTTACACCAAATTCTGAGTTCTTTTGAATGTAGCATTGCCGAATTTCTCTTCTCCTTCTCTTCTCCTAAAGAGAAGATAATAACCTTCAAGTTGGTGTTGATGTGCCTTCAAAATTCTAATTTATTTTGAATCGAAATTATAATTCTTATTTGTCGTGAAATTTGAATAAAATTTTTATTTTGTATTGATATTTTTTTATTTTTAATGGCTATAATTTTAGAAATAAATATTACAATTTTTAATAAAATATTTACGATTTATTTTTTTAAAATACGACTAATTAATATATTTTTATACAATATTAAAAATAAATATTACAATTTTTTAATCAAATATTGGAGTACCATTTAATTCGATACTTTACCAATATATCTTTTAAATGGAGACATTATTATCATTTATTTTTATTATATTTATATGGAAATTATTTTGAATGGTGACATAAATATATTTAATTTTTATATATGATTTGATTCCATAAAATATTATGATCAATAAAATTTGAATTCTCTTTTAATATTATAGGTTTGATACTGTTTCATATTGTAGGAATATTATATACATTAGAATATATAAAGATATGAAAAAAATTAAATCAAAATTTTACAAATATATCTTTTGAATGGAGGTATTAATATTATTTATTTTTATTATATATAGAAAATATTTTGAATGGTCACATTAATACATTTTATTTTTATACATGATTTGATTTCAAAAATTTATGATCAATAAATTTTGAATGAAATTATAATTTAACCAATAAAATTTTCTACCGACTTCTAAATATATTTGTGTATATTTTTTGAAAGGTTACATTTATATTCTTGAAAAAAATAACGTAGTTTAAAGGATGTATTGTTAACTATAAATATATTGTTAATAAAATTAATAAAAAAAGTATATTATAAATATATAAAAGATAAAGTAAATAAGAACTCTAATGTTTATCTTAAATATTTAATTTATCATTCTATAAATGTAAGAATAAATATTATTTTATAATTATTTATATCCTTATTTGACCTAAAATAAATTATTTCAATTTCTATAAAAAGGTTAATAAAACAAAACAAAATCAATTGAGATTTGATAATTTTTTTAAGTTTATGAAATAACTAAAATATATCATAATCTTTTCAAATTAACTTTATAATTGTAATCATGATAAAAAAATATTAAATGGTAATCATGAAAATTTAATGATAAATGATAATCATAAAAATTTATGATAAAATAAAAAATTATTGATACAATCATTTTAATAAATTAAATAATTTATAATTAATTTTATAAAGGTGAATAAATTACAAATAATTTTATAAATGTAATAAATTAAACTATTTATAAAATTATTTATATCAATAATAATAAATTACATATATTTTAATAATTGACACACGAATTCAACAAGCTTATAAATCGGAAAAAAGTTACAATAATTTTATAAACAGGAATAAATTAATATCATTTTATATAAATTAATGGTATAATATAATATATTAAATATTTATATAACACTTTATTAAATAAATTTATTTCATGAAATTAATTTTATATAATATCATTAATATTTAATTATTGAAAATTCGCAATAAACTGAAAAATATTTATTACAAATCGAATATAATAAAACATAAGAAATAAATACATAATTTTGAAATGTTATATATGATTCATTGTAATAATAAATGTTAAATTATTATTTAATATTATAATAAATTTTCCGATATTCTTAGTTTTAATTTATTCTTTTTCCCGTATATAATAATAATATTATATTATTATTTAATATTATAATTTTTGATTGACAATAATAAATTTATTTTAATTAGTTAGACATTAAGATAATAAATTTAATATATATCACTAATACACGATATTTATTTATAAATGTAATTAACTAAGAGACACATATTTATCATTGTTGAATAAATAAATTTAAGATGATATGGTAAATATTTATTTTTACAATTATTTTTATAAACTTAAATAACTTACAAATATTTTTATAAACGAACAAAATTCAAATATTGATGTAATTGTTTTTAACATGAATGAGTTAAAATGTTTTTATAAATTGTCACACGGGTTAAAGACACTTATAAACGAGAAAAAGTCTACATATTAATATAATTAATTTTACAAACTAAAAATAAATTATAATAATTTTTATAAACATGAATAAATTATAAATATTTTTATAAACCGGAAAAATTCAAGTATTGATACAATTATATTTATAAAAGAGTATAAGTTTCATATATTTTTATAAATAGACACACGCGTTCATTTTTATAAACGAGAATAATTTAAAATTATTTTTATAAATGAGAAATTCAAATTTGATAAATGATTATATATTGTAATTATATTAATATTAACCAACTGAGTACATGAAATAAATTCACGGGTATAATAAATGTATCTATGACATACCAGATAATTGAAGTTAAAGAATTGAATGTACTGTTTTAAATGACAATTAAGTTATATTTTTAAATACAAATTAGAAAATAAAT